CCATGTGTGTGGTATTTGTATGACTTGAAATTTTACGCACTAAGACATCTTAATAATCAATTCCGAAAAAAAACAAAGTTCAGTTTGAATTTTAGATAGGGTCAAAATGAATCCACTCTAAAAACGAATCTAAACCATTCATTTGGTGAATTTCAATATTTTAGCTTTTATAAACTTAAAATTACATTGTTCATTTAATGATAATAAAGCCATTCAAAAAAAATTGGAAATAAAAAAATCTTTCTAAGGTTTAGATCTAAGCATCTCACCATCAAAATGAATGGTTTATATTAATTGGGTTAAAAAAATACTTTCTAAGTTGTGTTTTCAAATGTTTAAAAAAATCATTGTAAAACTTATTATTTACAAGACTTGAAATCTATTTTTTACCATGTTTTATATCTTGAGGTCGAGATGATCGATTTGAGGATTTTTGAATATTGAAACATCTTCGAGTGAATTTTTTAAGTGTGCCTTACTTTGATTGTTTAGAGCTTCATCCTTATATAAATTATTTTCTTAATTTAATTTTGGGAGGAACGATTTTTTTAACAAAAAAATTTAAAAATAAAACACAGATTTATATATGTTCCATTAAAAAAGGGCATTTTTTTAAGACATTTTGAAAAACTCGAAATTCTTAACAAACTTGCTAACTATGGTGTGAACATTAAAAACATGGGCACTAACAGTAAAATGCAATTGCAATATACATAAACACATCTACATATGTAAAGCACAGGAAGAAAAGGCATTGTCTGCAAGTTAAAAAATAGAGCTTATTTACCATCAATGCATTTATTGGATCATTACATTACCATACTGTATTGGAGTTGCCCACTTCACAATCTGTGTACGCCATTTCATCATGGTTTATGCATTTGCCACTTGATCCAAACCAGAATAAGTAACATTGAAAAAAACAGTGTAGGACTCATCTTTGTAACCCATTATTGGCGAAAGAAGATAGGACCTTTCGGCTCCCTTAGCAATAAAGCTAAGAGCATCATATTGAGAAACTCCTTTCCTTGCAACAAAGCTACTTGAAGCTCCATCCACCAATGCAGTCGCATTGTGGCAATGCATTTTGACCTCCGGATCCTCAATTCTCGGTGCCCATAAAAAGCAACCACGAGCACTCAAAGACTCAAAAGAGATTGTATCATTACGGCCATCTAGCCCTTGATGCACTAAGAAAACAGTGTTCAATTCATTGGGACTAGAAGAGCCCTTCATGAAGACAGTTTTTTTGTCCTCATCCGTATGTGCCACTAATAAATCGGGTTGATCAAAGGCTTCTAATGAAACAAGCCTGCCTACTAAGTCCATGTCATGTCTCTTCTCCTCTTCTGATGTTTGGTTTATAACCCTAACCCTAAATGTGGCCCTAGCAGCTTCATCGGTGCCCTCCTTTGGACCCGGTCCCAAGTAAACCATGTTGCCATCATGGACCAAAACCCAATCCTCACTCATGGGGTTATCCTCTCTCATGTGATAAAGCGTTATTAACTGTGAGGAGAAATATTCAGGGACAGGAGTAATCCAGTTGGAGAGCTCTAAGTTATCCACACTCAGATCCCAGTCACCAGTGCTCATGCCAGCAAGCACGTAGGGGCCAAACAAAATCCCCATAACTGATGCATATTCGGGACGATCATCTGTTCACCAAATATTTCATAGATCCAAAATTATGGAAGAGTATATAAAATGGATAAACCAATTGCCATGAAACGAAAGATGGAAAGACTACTGATAAAGTCTAGTTCCATGGATTGGAGGAGGACACCTTTGATGGGTTCCGTCTGCAGCCTAACTGGAAGGACCATGTTCAGCTTATCTCCAGGTTCCCACGTTCTTGTAATCCTCAGAAAGTTCCCTGCAACCATGAGTTATCGGAAAAATGGTGAACTTTTATTTGTAGCTTCAAATCCACATACAAGGATCAATGTCTTGTTCTTTTATATGAGGAAGAATGCCAAACAGGTCAATATCATGCAAATAATGAGAAATGAAGAACATGTGCTGTACTGCACATTGGTTTTGTCAATCGCATCACTAAGAGGCCTACCACCTTGCCATTGTCTTAGCAATGAGGTGACAAGGAAACCCCTCTAATTTACAGAGAACCAAAAAAAGAGAAAAAGGTAATAGGAAAAGAAAAATAAAGAGAACAGGAGGATCCTGCTTCATATGTTAATACAAATCACTACGAACAAAATATCAAAAACTATATATGATCAGGTTTAATTGCAAATAAAACCATTTGAGATACAAACAAATAACCTGTGTATTCATGCCCGTGTTAGTTTATGAGCGTGGAAGTGATTGTTTCAAGGAAGCTTAGATTGGGAACTCATTTCTTAGGAAGTACACTTCAGAAATTGGTATGATTGAAAATTACAAAAGGGAACACCTATCAAACTATATTTCAAGTTTTAAGAATGTTTCACATGTTTCTTTTAAAATTTAAATTTTTTTTCCTGCATTTGGCCTACTTATTTATTGCGCTTCTTTAAAGTTTCCCATGTGTTTTTCGCAAATTTCTCATCCACTTCTCTATACAGATAAATCGGTCCTAGTTAGTATTCTTATGTTTTTCTCTAATTTAAGCCAGTTTACTTTCGATATAATTAAAATAAAAGTACATTATTCTAGGGAATGCAACTTTAATAATAGTAGAGATGAGGAAATAATTAAGATTAACGGCCAAGAAAATACAAAAAAGGGATAACTTTCGATATATTGGGTCGATAATCCAAGAAAATAGAGAGATTGATGAAGATGTCACGTATAGAATTAGAGCTGGGTGGGCTAAATGAGATATGCAGCCGGAGTTTTATGTGATCGCCGCACACCAATGAACCTGAAGAGCAAGTTCTATAGGACAGTTGTGAGACCAGCTTTGCTTTATGAGGTAAAATGTTTGGTAGTCACGAAACAACATACCCATCAAATGAGTATAGCTAAGATGAGCAACATGGATGAGTGACAAGACAAGACGGGATACAATTCGAAATGAATACATTAAGAAGAAATTAGGTGTGGCACCAATAGGCAATAAGATAAGAGAAAGTGGACATATATGGGTTGGTCATGTAGAGCGTAGACCTAGTACAACACCTGTTAAGAGGTGTGAGTTAGTTCAAGCGGAACGCTCAAAAAAGGCAATGGGTAGACCCAAAAAGACATGGTTGAAAATTATACGGGGGCTTATGGTCTTATTGAGGGTATGGCCCTTAATAGAGTAGAATGACGATCAGGATTTGTGTAGCTGACTCCGATTAGTTGGGAAAAATCTCTGACGATGATGATGATGATTTTAGGGTTTGGGGTATAGGCTTGAGGACATTGAGTTTCAAAATCATAGTTTCTAAATTGGTTCTCGGTCCATTTTACCTTTTGTTACTATGGTGTGCATATGTATCGCAAAATAGGAACCTACAAAGCCATTTCTTGATATTGAAATGTGAGAGGGAAAATTTGTTTTTATTTTTTATTTTTATTCAACTTTAAAGGATGCATATTATAGTTTTCTTTTAGGGCTTATTTATAGGGTTTTTAGTTTTTAGGGATTCTAGGGTTTTTATGTTTTTTTATTTATTCCGTGGGAACTACTCACAAGTATTATTCGCGTGGACCATTCACAGGGGTAAATTTGTCATTACAAAATTTAAGTTTAAATTAGAATTATAGGTCAATTTATCATTGTATGGACATGTAATATCCTTGAACATTGAATTATGATATAAGGTGTGTGGGGCCTTGAGAGGGTCAATTCCACATGATTTTTAGAAATTGAAAGAGAGAAAAACTTAGGCTTTTGGAACCCTAGCTCGGAGTTTGGAGAAAAAACCCTAGGTTTCTTCGACTTATGCTTGTTTAATATTGTTTCTTGCTAATTTTATTTTTCCCTCAATTTGCCCTGCATCAAAATGCTTTGAGAATCCATACCTAGGCTACACAGCACCCCGTTCTCTAAGATTAGCATATATAGAAAAAAACATTTTTTTGATTCATGAGGAGCATATGATATTTGGCATGCCATATGTACTGTGCAATGCCAGCTAGAGTGAACCCCATTTATGAGATTGTATACTAGGAGACCATTTATCTTTATTAGAAGGAGGTCAGAAATGCTATTAGCCATTAGATGTCAAATTAGATGGCTTGGCGTGTGACACAGAGTGAGATTTTTTTTTTGAACTTTGAGTCTGTGTCGATGACATACTCACAACCACCCAATTTGAAATCTGACGGATGTGAGTGACTTTGACCTCCTCGTGTTAAAAGTAAATAGTCTCTTTGTATATTTTTCTTTATAAAATGACTGAACAACGAAATAAGTATACTACATCTTCAAGTTAGGAAGGCCTTGTCTAGTTCGACAACTGAAGTTGTAGCATGGATAGAAAGAGATAAAGTTGCCTTGAGTGAAATGTTAAGAGTCAAGCAGTGGAAGACGGTTCAGCATATAGTAAAGGATGATGAAGAATTGAGATGGCCTCCATCTACAGGAATGTCATTTGAATGGGAGAGCGCTTTGCTCGAAGTGTCTTCTAGAATTGGAAATAGATAATGAAAAACTCCTCCAAGAAGATCTCATGTGTCCATAATGTATCCCTTTGAAGGAAAGCCCTAGAACCATCACCTAATTTATCAGGAACTCACCAAGATCCCCTTTGCTTATCAGGTCATGAAACATAATACCACTTACTGAATAATGAAGTGTGCATCCAATATGAGAAAAGTAGATCATTAATAGATTGATTTCTTTATTACATTTATTACATGATCATGAAACTTGCTTCTTACTTCATTTTCTAGAATAATCGTTTCCCCTACGGAGAATAAAAGAATCATTACTTTCAAAATACAAGAATCATCTCGGAATATTTTAGAAGATCTCTTAATATATCTTTGTTCAGTCCAAAATATAGTTCGGTTGTAGAGTGGTTTCTTTTTGAATAATCAACGCCTTTGCAGTTTCAGGCAATTTGACAAATATTTCTCAATTAAAAAGAAAGTGACAAAAACAAACTGAAAGTTCAGAAATATAATCAAGGTAAAGGATGTGAAGAACCAAGAGACAGTCTAAATGCTTTGTTTTCATCAGTCCTACATATGGAAAGAGTTAGTGCTGCCGTATAATGCTCAAACCTGGTTCTGGTAAGAAGATATTTTCATCATTCAGCATTCCTCGCGAATTAGAAGCAGATGTCCATGATGGCATTCGTATGTTGACAGTAGATTGCAGTAAGCTTCTTGCCCCATCAACCTTTCATTTCACAATGCATAGGAAATGGTGTCAAAGAAAAAATGATTTAAACAAAACATCTAAAGAAAGTTCCACAATTGATAATGAACAGAGAATCCCGATCAGAAAGAAAAAGAAAGGATGGTTAGTCATTTTCATAATGGAAGAACACTATGCAGCAGCGAATTAAAAATTGTCTTCAACTCGGAAAAAATCCTTAGTCAACTAGACTAAGGCATCCAGAGTTTCTGTTAAAAAAAACAAAAAAAGGGAATGCCTGAGTTTATTTATATACAAATGTTTTCTGTTATTTCTAAATGGCAACTTCAAAGAGGTAGCGACGTGTTTTTTACTTGGTGAAAGACTGGATTTGAACCCACAACAGACAGCATTGTCTTTATGCCTCTTCATAAAAAATTATTCAACTTGCAGAGTCAACTTGGTTTTGGCAGTGATTGAGTCGACCACCAAGTTCGAGTTTTAAACACTGTGATAATAGTACCTATTATGGGTATATTTTAGATTCCATCACAGTATCACATGATATATCTAAAATGTTTATCAACACATAATGCATCAAATCAAGCTATGATTTAAAGATGAGCTTCACGTTTTTCATGTAAGGTTTAGGTCTCATGGCAAACAAAAAGCAAAATAGCCTCAAGGAAGGGTCAGGCCCAAACTTCCATGAAAAACACTCAAACTTCGCAAATCTTAAAGAGCTAATGTTATACATATTCCACATGAAAATTGCATAAAGCACAAGGATAATATCAAGAATTCCACGGGTCAAGTATACATGCCAACTTAAATTTCATGTACATAATAATGGAAGAGGAGTCACACAATTAAAAAAGAAGAAAATAAACACTACATATGATATAAAAGAGCAAATAATACTCGACATCACCTCTAGAGAAAAGAACTCCAATGTAATTTGGAGGTAGGGATCCCATGAATGCAGTGGCAGAACCTTTAGCTTCACAATAAGTTTTGCAGCATCCCAAGTAAGAGTACTTGGTATGAACTGCGTGACATACAGGGATCGAGATGCCCCATTCACTTGAAAATAGATAGACTCCCCTAACTTTGAGAAGGATTCTATTCCTGCAATACAATAATGAATAAATTTGCTCCAGAAAATGGCTGTATACATTTCATAAGATGGAACATTATAGCGAGGATAAGTCATCAATGGAAGAAAATCATACTTCCAAGACATTTTTCTTTGAAAGAACATGGAAATTGTCAAAGGAAAATATCATTCAAATGGTGAAAACACTTCAAGAATCATTGAGGCGGTTAAATCAACCAATTTATACATAAAGTGTGTACTTTAAAAATCAATTTATTCTAGTATGTCCACAACTATTTTGTTAAAAAATGACCAAACTGCCCTTGTTTTAGGTTTGGATTTGGAACCCATCACAAGCTAGAGTATATTGGTAATTTGGCACAGGTAAACTGGTCTAAGCCAATTGATAAAACTGTCCCTATTTGATCTAGGCTCTGAATCCAAAACATGCTTCTTTCATTGGAATAATCTCATCTTGGGTTAATCAAGCCAAATGACAAAAGTGGAAGCCATCATCATCATCCGAGCCTTTTTCCAACTAATTGGGGTTGGCTATGCTATGACAGAAGTGGAAGCCAAATCACCAAAATGCCGCAGCTTGTTCCAGGTTTCAAACACTAAACAAAAGATTCAAACTATATTAACCATATTCCCTGGTTTGGAATCCAGACCAAGCTGAGATAGTTTTATCGTTTAGCTCAGTTAATTTAAATTGAGCCAAATGATGAAACTACCATTACTTATTCAGTGTCCCAATGTCATAACAGGATATGTTGATTGAAAACCATGTTCCTAGTTTAGAACCCAATACAAGCAGGGGTAGATTTATCATTTGATTCACATACCAAAATATCAAAATTGCACTTGTTTGTTATGGGTTCTAAAGCTATAACAAGGGCAGTTTGGCATTTTCTAATAAAAAAGTTGATGGGGCCCTAGAGTGAAATGATCTAATTGAAGTAACCACTTTGTTGGTAATTGATTGATTTAACCCCCTGAGCATCTTTTTGAGCTGCTTCAACCATTTTAATGATGTATTCCCAATTTCAATTATAACATGAAGATTCTACAATACAAAAGCAGCATCCTGAATCAGCCACTAATATGGTTGTTCATTCCCATGTTCGAACATAATCATGGATCCAGAACGGTTGCCTAAGTTGCTGTTTAAGTCTAGTTCAAACCAGTATGGCAGGAAGTCAAACGATTATCTGTAACTACATTAGGAGTGTGTCCTCGTTTGAATATGATTTCAAGTTTATAAATGATACTCCAATTGTGAGAATTTAAGATCCCACTACAATTGTTTAGAATAGAACTTTAACCATCCATGAGTTCGTCCAGTATTAGGCTATGACTGGCGATTCCTCCACTATGGAAATATCTGCTTTAAGCTCCCCACATCTTCGATAACGTGACAAAACATGTAGCGACTATTATGGGCCTCGGGCCTATCAAGGAAATTTGTGTAGTGACTACTATGGGCCTCATGCCTATTAAAGAAAGTTGTAGTAACTATTATGTGCCTCATGCCCATTATAAAAATCTTTATGTGGTGACAAGGCACATTGACCAAGAATCCATGCATTTTGGGAAACCCAATCTGAACCAAATTTGTAAAATATCATACTATATCTAGATGCTTTCCTGCTGTAAGCATAATAGGCGTAACTGACATGCATGTTGACCTATACTGCAACTCCCATAAGGATACATACGAATATAGGGCACATTGACCCATGATTTATACAAATGTAAGAGATCCATATTTTACCAAATCGTGCGCTTGAATATTTCAGGGCTTGAAACACTATGGATATCCAAAGTTTCTAGCAATTACAAGCAGTTCAAATATTTCTCAACCATAAATTCCAATTTTCAAAGGTGAATTTTATGAGCATTGGAAAATTAAAATGAAAACATTATTTCGTTCTCGATAAAAAAAGAAGTGATTTTGCAAAAAAAAAAAAAGTCTTTTGTAGTGATAAAAAAAAGGGAAGAAAAACCAAAGAGGGAAAAAAGAAAAGTTCTTAAATGAGGTGTTCTTGGAAAAGAAGAAGAGAGATTTAAGAAAAGGGGGAAAACAAAATTGAAGAGTTCTTGATGTCATGTTTTGCAAAAGTTTTAAAAAATGAGATTTGAAAAAAAAAATTCTGAAAGGGGGACATGAGTAGTCTTCATGGGAAATCCATGCCTATGTAGGCATAGAAAAAATGAAAAATTATTTTTCGGAAAGAAAAGAAAACAGGACACCACAGTCCTGGTATATTGTACCATGGAAAGGCACGGTCGAAAATCCATGCCTAGTGTAGGCATAGGAAAAATAATTTATGAAAAACGAAAATAGAACAGCGTAGTCCTAGTTTGTCATGACATGGAAAGGCATGAGGGTGCTTAATGAGAAGGCATAAAAAAGAAATTGTGTTTTAAAAAACAAGACAACGCAGTCCAAGTTTGTCATGTCATGAAAAGGCATTATGGCGCCATGAGAAGGCATAAAAATTGTGTTTTTTAAAAAAGGGACCGCAGTCCTAGAGTGTTATGTCATGAGTAGGCATAAAGAAAATGGGCGAAAAATGTTTCAAAAAAAAGGAGTTAAAAAGAAAGCTAATTGCTGCAATTTGTTTTTGTAGAAAAGACATCAAGAAATATGGCAATTCCTACTCCAAAAAGCAAGTTGAATGAATTTTGCCAAAAGAAAAAAATTGAAAAACCAATTTACAAAATTATCAAGGGGGGACCCGACCATAACCATATTTTTATTTGTGAGGTAGAAGTCATAGGAAAAGAACTTTCAGGATCCTATATGGATACCAAAAAAGAAGCTGCGAACACAATGCAGCCTATTTTGCCATATCGCAATAGGCAAAAATGAAAAAAGTCAAATTAAAGATGACGAAGAGGAGAAGATGAAGATTGCAAGGGAAGAATACATTTGTGAAATGAAGAAGCATATTGAAAAGCTTGAAGAGCCCTAGTTTCTACATTAAAAGAGGAAAATGAAGACCTTCCTAATTTCATTGAAACATGTACATGAAATTTAAAAAAAAAAAAGAAATTTTGCATGAAGGGGAAGTGTTGAAAACGATGCAAAAATTTAGGAGTTGTGTCCATGTCTAGGGTAGTAATGAGTTATTGATATCTCTCTCTATGTTAGTGAGTGGTGATCTATTGTGGGGAGCTATCAAAGAATCACTCTATGTTAGTGGGTAGTTCTCTAGAAGTTGTGTGATGTAGGTTTGTGGGTAGTTTGAGTCACGTAAGTTTGTGGGTAGTTTAAAAATTGCTAGGTAAATGCATATAAATAGATACCATGTCATGGGATAATTGTAACTTGTGGATGTAATGCAGCACTGGTGAAATGAGATATCAGTCATAAACCTTATGAGTTTGTAATTATCTCTCAAAAAAAGAATCCGTACTTTTTTTTTAAAGTAAATAAATACACCAACAGTGGTATCAAAGCTCTCCAAAAATTTCAACATTTTTTTTTGTGGTATCTTCATCCCAATACATGGTGCCTATTTATAGGCATTTACCTAGCAGTTTCCAAACTACCCACAAACCTACGTGACTCAAACTACCCACAAACCTGCATGACATGACTTCTAGATAACTACTCACTAACATAGAGTGATTATTTGACAACTCCCCACAATAGATAACTATCCACTAACATAGAGAGAGATACCCATATCTCATAACTACCTTAGACATAGACCACAACTCCAAAAATTTTGCATCATTTTCAACATTCTCCCTTGATGCAAAATTCTCTCTTTTTCTTTTAAATTTCGTGTACATGATTTTCAATGAAATTACGAAGGTCCTCATTTTCCTCCTTCAATTTAGAAACCAAGGTTTCAAGACTTTCAATATGTTTCTTCATTTCATAAATTTCTTCTTCCTTTGCAATCTTCATATACTCTTCTTCATCATCTTTAATTACAATAACCTCTTTCTTTTTTGCCAATTGCGTTATGGCAAAATAAGTTGCACTGTATTCGGCTTCTTTTCTTCCTTCGACTTCTATCTCACAAATAAACAAAGGACTATGGTCGGGTTCCCCGTGATAATTTTGTAACTTGGTTTTTCAATCTTTTCTTTTGGAAAAATTCATGCAATATTTTTGGAGTAAAATTTGCCATGTTCTTGATGTCTTTTCTAAAAAAAAAAAATTGAAGCAATTAGTTTTCCTTTTAATTTCTTTTTTAAACATTTTTCTCCCCCGTTTGTTATGCCATGACATAACAGTCTAGGACAGCAGTTCTGTTTTTTTCAAAACACATTTCTTTTTTATGCCTTCTCATTAGGCACCCTCATACCTTTTCATGGCATCATCATGCCTTTTGATGACATGACCAACTAGGACTGCAGTGTCCTATTTTCCTTTTTCAAAAATCATTTTCCCTATGCTCTACACTAGGCATAGATTTCCCATCATGCCTTTCCATGGCAAGACATACCACGAATGCAGTGTCCTGTTTTTCTTTTCTTTCCCAAAAATCGTTTTTCATTTTTCTTATGCCGACATAGGCATGGATTTCCCATGCGGACTACTCATGTCCCCCTTTCAAAAAAAAAATTTAAATCTCATTTTTGAAAACTTTTGCAAAACATGACATCAAGAACTCTTCAATTTTGTTTTCCCCCTTTTTTAAAAATCTCTCTTCTTCTTTTCCAAGAACACCTCATTTAAGAACTTTTCTTTTTTCCCTTTTACTTTTTTTCCCTTTTTTTTAATCATTGCAAAAGACTTTTTTTTTTTTTGTAAAATTACTTCTTTTTTTATCAAGACCCAGACGTTGTTTTCATTTTAATTTTCCAATGCTCAAAAAATTCACCTTTGAAAATTGGAATCAAGAGTTGAGAATATTTGGACTACTAGTCTGTGCCATATGGAATAATGCAAGAAATTAAATAAAGAGATTTAATTTTCTATCACCTTTCCTTGAGTTTTGTCTCTGACCTGCTGGTCCTAAATTTCCACACCAATGCCTCTCTCTTTGGCAACATGTGATCTCCTTATCTT